AAAACTGTTTTTGTCATTTTCCAAAAAGTTGTGGAAAAAAAAAAATCTTCCATGGACTCAATATGCCTCTCAGCAGATAGCTTAGGGTGTCTACTTTCCGAAAAGGGGTCATTTGGGGGTGTTTGTACTGTCCTGGTATTTTAGCACCTCAAGAAATGTGATGGGCAGTCAGAAAGTAAAAGCTGTGTAAATTTCAAATTATCTGTACCATAGTTTGTAGATGCTATAACGTTTCACACAAAGCAATCAATATACACTTATTTATTTTTACCAAAAACATGGAGCAGAATACATTTTGGCTTAAAGTTATGACTAACTTTTAGTTTACAATATATTTTTTTATAGCCGAAAGTAGAAAAAAAAATATCGGGGTTTTTTTTTCAAACTGTTCAGTCTTTTTTTGTTTATAGCGCAAAAAAAATAAAAAGTGCACAGGTGATTAAATACCACCGAAAGAAAGCTCTATTTTTGTGAAAAAAGGATATAAATTTAATTTGGGTACAGCATTGCACAATTATCAGTTGAAGTAGTGCAGCGCCAAACAGCAAAAAAAAGGCCTGGTCAGGAAGGGGTGTAAATCATCAGGAGGACAAGTGGTTAATGAATTAAAAAAAATGTATGCCCTCATTTTTTTTTTTTGTAAAATATGAAAGATGATGTTATGACGAGTACACAGATACCTAACATGACACATAAAATTGCACAAACTATGGAAAAGTTTAAAATATTTCTACAGATTACTAGTTTAGAGTGACAGGGAAGGTCTAGTGCTAGAATTATTGCTCTCGCTCACACATTCGTGGCGATACCTCACATGTGTGGTGCGAAACACCGTTTCCATATCTGGGCATGACCTACATATGTTTTCATCACTGGGAGCGAGCACGTGGGTGCTTTAACTTTTTTTTTTATTTATTATTTATTTTATTACTTTTTTCTATTTTGACATTGTCCCTTTAATTTTTTTTGTTAATTTATTTTAATCACTTTAAAATTTAAACATCCATTGTGAAAACAATACAGCATGACAGGTTCTCTTTATGGAGAGATCTGGGGTCTATAAGACCCCACATCTCTCCTCTACCTTTAAAAGCGAAAGATCGAAAAAACATTTTTTCCCTTTAATTCGAGGGCCCACTTTTGTACTCTACAGTTGGCAAGTTCTTCTTTATTTACTACGATGGCCCACTGTTGTTCTCTTCAGTTGGCAAGTTCCTCTTCTTCCTATAACGCAAGGGCCCACTGTTCTTCTCTTATGTTGCCGAGTTCCTCTTGTTTCTTTATTTCAAGGGCCCGCTGTTGTGCTCCTAAGTTGGTGAGTCCCTCTTCTTCATTTACTACAAGGGCCCGCTGTTGTTATCTTCAGTTGGAAAGTTTTTCTTCCTTTAATTCGAGGACCCGCTATTGATCTCTTACATTGGCAAGCTCCTCTTCTTCATTTACTATGAGGGCCCACTCGTAATAGGGAAAAGATTGTCCTCGTACGTCGGCAAACTCCTCTTCTATGGGTTGTACTATCCTGGCATTTCTGGGCCTCCAAAACTGTTATACGTAGTCAGGAAATTAAGTGAGATCACACCCTTTGAAAACCTGAAGGTGGTCATTGGTTTTAGACCCTCAAAAAGTCTCACATCCGTGGTATCCCCATACTCGGGAGAGGTAGCAAAATGCATTTTGGGGTGTTATTCCACATATAGCCATGGTCTGTGTGAGAAAAATCTCATTAAATTGACAACTTTGTGTAAAAAAAAAATGTCATTTTCAAAAACTTGTGGAAAAAAATGAAATCTTCCATGAGCTCAACAAATAGTATGGATTATCTACTTTCCAAAAAGGGTTCATTTGGGGGGGGGGGGGGGGGTGTTGTGTTTGTGTACTGCCCTGGCATTTTAGCACCTCTATCTATACCATAGTTTTTACACTCTAAAACTGTCACACAAACCAGGTAATATACACATATTGGGATTTAATTTTTACCAAAGACATGAAGCAGAATACATTTTGGCCTGAATTTAGAACTAAAATTTTATTTTAATAATATTTATAGTATAACAGAAATTAGAGAAAGTAGCAAAAAAAAAATGCTCTAGCCATGAAGGGGATAAATCCTTCCAGAGCTCAAGTGGTTAATAAAATGTTTGCCTTTAGAATCACTTTAACTCTCCTTAGTAAATCTCAATCCCCCCCCCTGCTAGGGGACATACTAAAAGGAAAGAGAGAAGGGTATGCCCGCAGACAGGGAAGTGGAATGCCAATAAATAATAATCGAACAGCAGATCACATGGCAATTGTACACAAGGGATGGCTTTGATTCATCCATACATTGTGTACTACTGTGTTTCTAACTGTGATTGGTCACAGTGATCACATGGTACAGAAAGGGCCATTCACAATCCACCTGTACCATGTGAGCAGTGACTAATCACAGCTAATCATGACAATACACACTGAATGAATCAATTTATTTAAAATAAAGGTTGCTTATACCAGAGATGATCATTGTTATAAGCAATCATACTGTGTAAAAACAAAAAACAAAAACAAATTCACCTCCTTAGAGTAGTACAGTGTTACTATGATAATACTGTGTTGCTCTGGTCATAGTATATAAAAAAATAATCGTAACAAAAAGAAAAAAAAATGCAATTAAAAGAAAACATTTTAAAATTATATATATATATAATGTATATGTGTGTTTGCGATCTTGTAGCAGTATTTCTCCTAGAGGGCGGACAGTTCATCTCAATTTTAACTATTTAAGGGCCAGGCCTATTCTGACATTCCTCTTCCACATGAAAAAATTAATTTTTTTTTTTGCTAGAAAATTACTTAGAACCCTCAAGCATGTTATATATATATATATATATATATATTTAGCAGAAGCCCTAGAGAATAAAATGGCGGTCGTTGCAAGGTCACACTGTATTTGAACAGTGGTTTTAAAAATGCTATTTTTGGGAAAATAATACACTTTAATGAATTTAATAAAAAACAAAACAATATATACCCATTTTTTTTGTAAAATTCAAAATATAATGTTATGCCGAGTAAATGGATAACTAACATGTCACGCTTTAAAACTGCGCACTGGCGTGCAATGTACGTGCAAAGACTCGTGCAATGGCGCCAAACTACATCTCCATAGGTGACGCTTTAAAAATTTTTTACAGATGACCAATTTAGAGGAAAAGAGGAGGTCTAGTGCTAGAATTACTTCACATGTGTGCTGTGAACACCATTTACGGGTGGGTGTGACCTATGTATGATTTTGCAACTGCGTGTAAGCATGGGGGGGGGGGGGGGGGGGTGCTTTAAATATTTAAAAATAAATATTTTATTACTTTTTTTTTCAATTTATACACTGTCCCTTTTTTTTAAATAATTTTTTATTGCTGTCACAAGAAAAGAAGAAAAGAGGTCTAGTGCTAGAATTTATTGCTTTCACTATAACGTTCATGGAGATACTTTTTTTCATGGAAATAATTTTTATTGCTGTCACAAGAAATACACGCCTTTTGCTAAAAATAAAGCATGACATGTCCTTTCTATGGAGAAATCTGGGGTATATAAGACCCCCACATCTCTCCTTTAAAATGGAAAACATCAAACCATAAAAAGAAAAAAACAAAAACAAAAACATTGATCTAATGCTTTCCAAAAACAAAAACGCTATGACGTCACTCCCAGCCTCCTAGGTCATAGAGATGAGTGGAGGCCATCTATCCTCAGATAATCTCTATGGCTGGCAGCTGCAACCTCAGATTCGTCCTGGGGCTTACCCATGAGCCAGGTAGGCCCGAGAACCACCAGAAAGTGACCCCTCCCACCGCTTCCAAAAGTGAGCCAGTGACTACACAGCCGCTCGGATCAATTTTAGGAGAAAGAGCAGCGGCTGCAGAAAATGTCAATACCGAGGTTATGGCCTCCAGCTGCAGCCATAACCCTGGTGTTCCACTTCAAACCCGCGACGTACATGTATGTATTGAGATCTTGAGGTGGTTAACATCTAGGGGCAATCAGAGGGTTAAACGTGTCCCAACAAGTGTAATGTGTGCTGATTTTTACTAACAGATCTCTTAGTTTCTCTCATCCCTGCTTTGCTTTGCAGGGAAGAGAAACAGAGAGATCATTCCCTCTGTACAGAGCTCTGTGTTATTTGTCAACACAGTGCTCTGGGCTGTGATTGGACATGGCTGATCAGCAGGTGGAGGCTGTGAATCATTGGCCGGGACTTGCTGATGGAATCCGGCCAAGCGGGTGGGGGGCGCGCACCCGAAACCTGGAAAACACGCAGTGATGTACGGGTACATCACTTTGCCCGCAAGTGGTTAATGCCTTCCCAGCCAGTGTCATTAGTACTATGAGAGTGTAAAGTATTAGCACTGATCACTGTACTAGTGTCACTGGAGATGTCTGTTAGTGTCGGATTGCCCACCGCACTATCGCAGTACCATTATAAGTCACTGATCACCACCGTTATTAGTATACAAAATATATTCCGGTATATATACCTTAGTTTATAGACACTATAATGTCCACGCAAACCAATTATACACTTACTGCGATTATTTATACCAAAGGCGTAGCAGTATTTAAGAAATTAGATTTTTTTTATTGGATATTGTCACGGAGTGCCAGTGCCTCTCCCATCCCCCTTGCACATATCCCTCCACCCCTCCCTTCCCCCTTGCACATTCCGATGTCCATGTAGCTTCCATGGACAGTGCTGGGCTGGCCGTTGCCGAGACAACCTAGCCGCGTCCCACAGACTCGCACAGGAAGCAGCCCTCCTCTTTGTTCCTGTCCATGCTGCTGGAATCATCTTGCTCCCAAAAAGACGCTGGGAGGCTCGGGTGATGGGGGCTGAGCCTACCCCCCCAGCCATCCCCGCTGCGCACTCTGCAGACCCCCAAAAGGTCAGGACTGTGCTGAGCACTCCTGCACCCTGTCCCGCTGCTGAGTGCCCTGAGAGCTGCTGCTGAGGGACCCCGCACGTTGTCCGTGGCTGCACGTCCCTGGATGCTGTCTGCTGATCGCTGGTCATCCCTGGAACGCTGACCGCTGGTTGTCCCTGTCTGGAGCCACCTGCCGCTGAGGGTCTGCAAGCCACTTACCGTGAGTGTCCAGAACTGTCCCTGTTGTGCGCACAGACTTACCCGTGTCCTGAACTGTCCCTGCTGTGCGCACTGACCACCCGTGTTCTGAACTGTCCCTGCTGTGCGCACTGACCACCCGTGTTCTGAACTGTCCCTGCTGTGCGCACTGACCACCCGTGTTCTGAACTGTCCCGCTGTGCGCACCGACCACCCGTGTTTTGAACTGTCCCGTTGTGCGCACACGACCACCCGTGTTCTGAACGGTCCCCGCTGTGCGCACCGACCACCCGTGTTCTGATCTGTCCCGCTGTGCGCACCGACCACTTGTGTTCTGAACTGTCACCGCTGTGTGCACCAACCACGAGTGTTCTTTTTTTTTTTTTTTTTTTTTTTTTTTTTTTTTTTCCATTTTAATTACATTTCATCATCACAATATAAATATATATATATATATATATAAAAAATATATTCTATAATATTATATTAACCAACATTTCTACTTTTATACTCTATGCAACCTTTTCCCCCCTTCTCCACCCCCCACCCTATGTCCCCTCTGCCTATTCTATCTTTTCTCTACGTCCTTCTTATTATCAGCAAGTGGAATTTTTCTGTTGTTGTCTTTATTCTTTCCTACACCTCATATATAATCTAGCTTTTTCCCAGTTCTCCCATTTCCCATGATAAACCTCCATCTTATCTTCTTGGGTATGGCACAGCCTTTCCATCTTTTTAATCTTGCTCAACTCTTTCAATCCAGTTCCTCTTCCTTTGGTGCCTATTTGCCTCCAGAACTTGGGTATCAGGGCTTTTGCAGCATTTATATAGTTCCATATCCCTGATTTTTTATATTTATTTACCGTTATATCCGTGATGTGCAAAATACATACTTCTGGATCTAGATTTATATCTATTTCTGTCAATTTTCTTATTAAGTGGATTATTGTTGTCCAGAATATCTGGATTTTTGGGCATCCCCACCATATATGGTATATTGTGCCTATTTCTCCACATCCCCTCCAACACAGCAGTGTACTCTCTCCACACATCTTATTTTCTACTACTGGTGAAATGTGCCATCTTGTCAAACACTTATAGTTTCATTTCTACTTCTCTCATAGAGACATTTTCGTGAATTAATCTATACATTCTCCTCTGCTTTTCCTCATCTATCACAACTCCCATATCCATTTCCCATTTTGTTAAATATGTTGGTTTCGTGTTTGTGTCTAGTTCAGTGAGTATTTTTATAAATTCTAGCAATCCCGTGTTTCCCATCACCTTGTGTTCCCAATGTCTTTTCAAACAAGTTCCAATTGTCTCTTGTCCTTAAAGGTCTTGGCAAACTTCCGACAAAACACCTCAATTGGAAATACCGCCATTCGTCTAATTTAGTGAAAATCTCTCCCTCTTTTTTTTTCAATTCGCCATATGCTCCTATTTCATCTCCACCAAGATATCTCCTAATTGCACCTTATCTTTTTTTAAACCACTTCCCTCCTATTTCTTCTCTACCTGGGGGGAAAAACTCTGTATTTTTTAGTGGAATCAGTGTAGAATTAAAAGTCCATTTCATACTTCTGTGTAAGTTATATCCAAAATCTTTAAAACATTCAAAGTGTATGTATTTACATTGTCATTTAAACCCCTATACTGTGTTGGTACCCATATCATTCTTCCCAAGTCTATTCCGCTGAGTTCATTCTCTATTCTCACCCAGCTTTTTTTATTATTAAATATCCAATCTATGGGTTCTTGCCAGTATTACCGCTTTGTAATATCTTTTAAAGTCTGGGAGCCCTAAACCCCCCTCTTTCTTTCCTCCTGCTTAGCAGTTCGTATGACAGTCTTGGTTTTTTTATTCCTCCATATGTATCTTGTTATCAATTTCTTAATTATTTTAAGAAAATCTCTGGGAGTTTAATTGGGATCATTTGATATCTATATATGATTTTTGGTACTATTACCATTTTTACCAGATTAATACGGCCCATCCATGTCGGGGTTCTCCTCCAATCTTTTTAATTCATCTCTAATCTCATTTATCAGTGTAATATAGTTTAGTTTATAAAGATGTTTATGTGAGGCTGTGAGTTTTACTCCTAGATATTTTATATCTCTATCTTTCCATTTAAAGGGGAAATTCTTTTTGTATCCTTTCTTTTTCGTTTTTTAAGATGTTTATATTTAGAATCTCCATTTTGTTGGATTTATCTTTAAATTTGATAGTTCTCCGTACTCCTTTAGTGACTTTCATTAAGTTTGGAAGTGTTATCCTGGGGTTTCCTACATAGAAACAACAAGTCGTCTGCGAAGGCAGCAACTTTATGTTCCGTATCTCCTATTCGGATTCCCTTTACGTCTCTATTCAGTCTTATTGTTGATAGTAGAGGTTCTAGAGATATAAACATACAGCAATGGGGATAATGGGCATCCCTGTCTTGTTCGTTTGACATCTCAAAGGGTTCTGACCTCTCCCCATTTACCCCAATGACCACCGAGGGGTATCTGTACAGCTTTCCTATCCATTCTCTCATCCTAGGCCCGATTCCCAAAGCTTCCAGAGTGTCCATCATGAATCTCCAATTTACCCTATCAAACGCTTTTTCAGCATCTTAGACAGTAGTACCGCCGGTTCTTTTCCTTTTTACTCTTTTGGATTAGCATCAATGATCGTACCCCATTATCTTTTCCTTCCCTCCCTGGAACAAAGCCCACCTGATCCTCATGTATCCATCCAGGCATTAGCTCTTTCAATCTGTTTGCTAGGACCTTTGCGTACAACTTAGTGTCTATGTTCAGTAGTGAAATAGGTCTATAGCTAGAACACTGAGAGGGATCTTTTCCTCTTTCTGAATGAGCACGAGTTGGGCTTGTAATGATTCTCTTCTTACTTCATCTCTCCACCTAGTGCATTCATGTAGTTTTTGAGTTTTGGTACTAAGATTTCAACTGAATTTTTTATAGTATCTCACTGTATAACCATCTGGGCCTGGGCTTTTCCCCGACACTGTCCCCTTTAATGCGTTAGTTTTATTTCTTCCTGTGAGATATCTGCGTCTAGGGAGTTTAGTTGGTCCTCACTTAATTTTAATAACCTAGCCATTTCCAAATATTTCTTTCTTTTCTGGTTTTTCTCACTGTCTATAGTTTCTGAACTTTCGAGGGGCTTTATATTGTACAGTTTCCTGTAATATTCTATGAAGGCTTTGGTGATATCTTTATTTGAGTGTTTCATGTTTCCTTTAGCATCTTTTATTTTTTCTATATAATTTCTATTTTTCTTTTTCCTCAGGGCTCTCATCATCAGATACTTTCCAGGTCTTTCTCCCCATCTATATCTCTCACTTAGAACTCTATTGTATACTTTTCTCCTCTCCTCTTCTATCATTTCTTTCAGTTCTTCCTTCTGTTTTTTTAACTTCAGCTCTATTTCTTTTGTTAATCTATTCTTATGTATTTGTTCTAATTTATCTATTTCTTCTAAGAGCTCATTCATTTTCTCCCTTCTTTCTTTTTTCTTTCTAGCCCCAATCGCCATTAATATTCCTCTTATATAAGCTTTGTGAGCCTCCCACACTGTGGCTGTTGACACTCCCCTGTCTCATTCTCCTTAAAAAAGCGTTCGATCTCCTCCCCTATTTTCTGAGCTATTTCCCTTTCCACTAAAAGTGTCTCATTCAATTTCCATCCCAGCCCTCCGCTTTTCCTTCTCCCCATTCCATTTTTCATAGTAACTGGAGCGTGGTCTGATAAAGTTATTGTCTCTATATCTACCTGGGTCAGATGGTCGATTAATTGATGTTCTATTAATATATAATCTAATCTTGAATATCTCTTGTGCATATTTGAGAAAAAAGTATAATCTCTATCTTGCGTGTGTGTAATTCTCAGGCATCTACCAGTTGACTTATGTGTAATTCTTTTTTCAATAATTTCAGGGCCTTACTTCCTTCTGTCTTTATATGGGAGGTGGCATCCCTTTGTGGGTCCATACAGAAGTTAAAATCCCCTGCCAGGATCAAACGTCCTTTTTTAAAGTCCATCAACTTCCTCAACACCTTTTTCAGATACTCCTCCGGTTTTTTATTAGGACAGTAGATGTTTGGCCAGTGTACACTCGATCTCCTGTAACTTGCCCCTTAAGAACAAAAAATCTCCCATCTGGGTCTGTTTTTCTATCTTCTCCAACTCGAACCTAACGTTCTTTGCCAGGCCTATTGCTTACCCTTTTGCTCTTTTAACCGGGGAATCTGCATAGTACCATGTTGGGTATTTTTTAGACTCAGTCTAAACATTTGAGCTTATCTCAAGATGTGTCTCCTGTAAAAATATCACTGAGGCTTCTCTATGATGTAATTCTTTAAATAATCTATATCTTTTCCCGGGACAGTTCAACCCATTTATGTTATATGTTATAAAAACTGAATCTCTTCCATCTTCCTTAAAAATTTCCTCTTTTCTCCTCCATCTATAATTTTTTATTTCTCTCTCCTTCTCCCTTCTCACTTGTTTTTACTGTATATCATCTTTTATTTTGCAGAGAAAACAACCTCCCTCTCCCATTTCCCACCCTGCCAACCTTCCAACCCCTCCCTCCCCCCTCCCCTCCCCCCTCTTTTTAGGCCTAACATTTGCCTACTAATCATTTATGGATTAAAAAAATCCACCTTTGATTTGATCTTGGGCTAAAACTCCGTCCATGGACGACTTTCCCCTTGACTAACCTCCCCATAACCTCCCAAGCCCCACCTGGATATTATCACTGGCAGAAAAATAGAGAGAGAAGAAAAAAATGAAAAAAAAGACGAAAAAAAATCCATAACGAAGGCAATAGAGTGGGGGTTAGGTGGCGAGAGGAGAAGAAAGGGGTTAAAAAAAAAAAAAAAAAAAAAAAAAACACCTCTCTCCTCCTCCCTCCCTCCCCCCCCCCTCCCCTCCTCCCCCCCACAAATTGCCAGTCCTCTTTTCTCTTCGCTCTACTTTCTCATCGTTCTTCTTCCCAGCCAGGGATTTCCATTCTTTGAATTTTTAAACTGTCACAAAAATTTTTCGTATCTTCTGGAAACCTAAGGTATGCTGTAGTCCCGTTTTTCCATCCTATTGGCATTCGGGAGTCCCCCATCTATATTGCACCTTTTGTTCTTTCAACCTTTTCAATAGGGGTCTCAAAGTTCTCCTTCTCCACAAAGTCTCTGGAGCCAGATCCGCATATATCTGTATGTCTCCCTCCTTCATACTTAATTACTGATTTTCCCTTAGTCTTCTTCCAGATTTTTTCTTTGTCCCGAAGTTCATAAAATTTGACAATTATATCTCTCGGCCTTTCTTTCCCCAGGTTTCTCAAGATTTTCCCTTTTCTAAAGATTCCTTCTATTTTAGACCTTTTCCATTTCAGAGCTGTCTGTTATAATGTTAAATATTTTGCAAACCACCTCTTGCAAGCTTTCTCCCTTTAGGTTTTCTGAAACTCCACGTATCAAGATGTTTTTCTTTTCCTGTCTTTATTTTCTTGTATCTCAGCCTTATATAACAGTTTTTCTTGGACTTTCCCTATATTAATTAGTTCTTTTTCAAGTTCAGAGATAGCCTGGGTCTGGCCTTTAACTTTCTCCTCCGTTTCCTCAATTCTCTCCAGAGATGTCCCCAGATCGCTGCGAATGTTTTACCATTTCTTGTTTTATTGTTTTCTCCAGTTCTTTAAAACATTTCTGCCATTTCCTTTTTATTAGGTATTTGTAGGTCTTTTTCCGCCTCTGTATTGCCTGATATTTGCTGGTTACTAGTATCCGGGCCTATTGATACTCTAGGGCTTCTTTCCATACTAAGGTCTGCTTCTCCTTTTTCAGATCTGCTCTGAGGTCTTTCTGGGGTTACGTTTCCTTGGGATATATATTTTTTAATTGTGCCAGTCTGGGACCCTTTAAGCCCACTTCCTTTTACATTTTTGTTTTTCATTTTTCTCTGTGGCACTTATCCTTTTTATAGTCCTTTATAAGTTTATGGGTAGGGCGGGATATTATTTCTTAAAACTTTCAAGTCTCTGCTCTGTCCCCCTGGTGGTTTTTCTCCTTCTCTTCTCCTCCTCCTCCTCCTTCCCCCCTCTCCCCCTCCTTCTCCCCGAGCTCTCCTCTTCTCTCTGCGTGTCTCTTCCACCTTTTATACAGTCTCTAGGGGTCCCCCGTTCTTATATACACTTTTTAGAGGTCAGCATGATAGATCTTCAAAAGTGCAATTCATAAGTGTCACTCACCCTCCTCCTATGTCTTCTTCCAGTGAGTGCCTTTTCGGTCGATTCCTCTGAGGGTCTGTTCATGGGGGGGACCTCCCCAGGATCTCTTCAGACTCCTTGTCCAGGTTTCAATAGTTCTCCTTTCACGTATTTTTAGGCTCCAGGGTTACTAGGGGGATAGGGGGGAGAGTGGGAGAGTGTGTCGGCCCCCGGCAAACAGGTCAGCGCTGCTCTCTCTCCACAAAACGCCGGCCGGCCGGCTTCCCGGTCTCCCAGAGGTGCTTTGCGGCCGGTCACGTGATCGCGCCGGCCCCTCTCGTCTCCCAGCGTCCAGGACTCTCTCTTCAACAATCGCCCGCCGCTCCTCTCTTTTCCCTCACCCGCATCAGTCTCTCCTCCGCCGGGAGCCGTCAGACCGGGTAAGTCCCCCACCGCAAGGCTCTAACATGTTCCAGGGGATAAGCTGGGAGGCCTGGGGAGGTCAGACACCGGAGCTCCGTCCACGAGCTCCTACACTGCCGCCATGTTCAGGCTCCGCCCCAATCCCGTGTCTCCATCTGAGATAATGGGGTATGACCACGAGTGTTCTGAACTGTCCCCGATGTGTGCACCGACCACCCGTGTTCTGAACTGTCCCCGCTGTGTGCACCAACCACCCGTGTTCTGAACTGTCCCCCGCTGTGTGCACCGACCACCCGTGTTCGAAACGGTCCCCGCTGTGTGCACCGACCACCCGTGTTCTCACCTGCCCCCGCTGTGTGCACTGACCACCCATATTCTGAACTGTCCCAGCTGTGTGCACTGACCACCCGTGTCCTGAGCTGGCCCTGTTGTGCGCACTGACCACCTGGGTTATGAACTGCCCTACTACACGCGTAGACTACCCTTACTTGAACCGCCCCATGGCGTGCCCAGAGTATAGCTACCTGTGATGCCCCTGAGTGCTTGAGCCATCGCTACTCGTTGAGTCCCCGTGAACCCGATGTCCCTAGAAAGCTGGGTGGGAGCTGTGCTAGGCCAGACTCCACAGCTAGAGTCCCCGAAACCCCTGCCCAGGGGTAGGTTGCCCGCCTGCTACACGAGTCTCCAATCTGCTGTCCAGTCACGGAGGGAGCTCGGCTGAGGCCCCAAGCCTAGGGGGGAGTTTGCCCGCCTGCTGCCCGAGTCTCCAATCCACTGTCCAGTCACGGAGGGAGCTCGGCTGAGGCCCCAAGCCTAGGGGGGAGATTGCCTGCCTGTTGCCCAAGACCCCTGCCCAGGGGTAGGTTGCCCGCCTGTTGCCCGAGACTCCAATCCGCTGTCCAGTCACGGAGGGAGCTCAACTGAGACCCCAAGCCCAGGGGGGAGATCACCTGCCTGCTGCCCGAGACCCCAGTCCAGGGGTGGGTTGCCTGCCTGTCGCCGAAGACCCCCCATGCTTGGAATCGTCCCTAGTTTGCGCACACATCATCCTCCCTGCCATTTCCCCATGTACTGATGACCACTAATAGGTGGCACTGATAGGCTGCACTGGTGGGCACTAATGAGGGTGCGCTGATGAGGCTGCACTGATGGGCACTAATGACACTGCACTGATGAGGCTGCACTGATGGGCACTGATGAGGCTGCACTGATAGGTGGAACTGATAAGGTGCACTGATTGCAACTGATGGGGTTGCGCTAATAATAAGGGCACTGATGATCATTTCTGTGATTATCAGTGTAAACAAAGTACTGACAGCCTTGCCAGCCATCAGCTCTCCTTCCTCTTTACACAGCGTGTGAGGAAAAGACTCCTCCATGGAGTGGACTCACCACTTCTCCACCCTCCAATGGTGCGTTCACCACATCTCTGGCCTCCAAGGGTGGGATCACTACTTCTCAGCCCTCCAAGAGTGGGCTCACCATTTCTCCACCCTCCAAGGGTGGGCTCACCACTTCTCCGCCCTCCAAGGGTTGGATCACTACTTCTCCGCCCTCCAAGGGTTGGATCACTACTTCTCCGCCCTCCAAGGGTGGGCTCACCATTTCTCCGCCCTCCAAGGGTTGGATCACCACTTCTCCGCCCTCCAAGGGTGTGCTTTGTTGTCTTATATTATTATGGAGAGGATGGATGACCGGGGTATATATTTATAAATGTACTTTTCCCGCAGCAACTAGTCCAACAGTTCTTTTCCAGAGAGATGCATTTAATCAGTTCAGTGACAGTTCATAAAACAGAGGTACAGACATCCAGCTGAATACTTGTAAATATTACAACGAACAACAGACCTCAGAGTCCCATTTAAGATACTTCATATCCAGCATGGAGATACTACACCGTCCAGCGTATGTAGAATCTATCATATGCACCTAGGTAGCTTCCATGCGTGTAATAATGTGAGTTATGATCTATACCTGTGCTTCCATATTAATAACAGGAAGAAGCTCTCTCATATACACATTCTCCCAATTCAGTAGAATGACAAGCACTCTGATTGGCCACTTTTAGGAGCCCCTTTGATCTTCTGGATGACAGGTAATGCCTTTTGGGCTTGGACAGATGCAGTTATAAATTCTAATAAAAGTTGTCTAGATATTTCCTAAACTGCATTCTTTTACTATTAATTAGATAAACAAGTTACCCTTTGAAGAATGCTATTTACCATACTAAATACCCCTTTTCATGTTATTAGGTAGTAGATGTTGACCAACTCCTTTCAGGTCTGACTGACCAATCTGCATTTTATCACCCTTGCAAATTTGCAAATTCCCTAACAAGTTAGCCCCTGAGGGCCAAGGTGATCTTACATAACAGTAACATAGCAAAGAGTTCTTGGCTGCTTTTGTTGTGTAAAATACATCTAACTCAGTCCTATGCTGGCCTGTCCAAGAATGTGAGAATACACCACATACAGTATATATACAGTTGTGTTCAAAATAATAGCAGTGTGTTGAAAAAAGTGAATAAAGCTGAAAATCCTTCTAATAGCTTTTATTTCCATCCACACAAATGCATTGGGAACACGACACATTCTATTCCAAATCACAACATGAAGAAAAATACATCAAATTTGTGTTGTTCCTCTAAAAAAATGGAAGAAAAGTGAATATTAGACGGTTCAAAAAAAATCGCAGTGTTTGTATTCTTCTTTACAAACTCAAACATTCACTATATAAACTGAGAAATGTTTGAAGATTTTGCTTTCCTTTGAATGACTTCATGAATATTTGGTTGTAGTCGCACTGTTTCTGAGAACTGCTGTACATCTGTGTTGCATGGAGTCCCCCAACTTCTGGCCCCTGTGATCAGGTATTCCAGCCCAGGATGATTGGACCACATTCCACAGTTCTTCTCTATTTCTTGGTTTTGCCTCAGAAACTGCATTTTTGATGTCACCCCACAAGTTTTCTATTGGATGAAGATCCGGGGATTGGGCTGGCCACTCCATAACATCCATCTTGTTGGTCTGGAACCAAGATGTTGCACGTTTACTGGTGTGTTTGGGGTCGTTGTCTTGTTGGAACACCCATTTCAAGGGCATTTCCTCTTCAGCATAAGGCAGCATGACCTCTTCAAGTATTCTGATGTCTTCAAACTGATCCATGATCCCTGGTATGCGATAAATAGGCCCAACACCGTAGTATGAGAAACATCCCCATATCATGATGCTTGCACCACCATGCTTCACGGTCTTCACAGTGTACTGTGGCTTGAATTCAGTGTTTGGGGGTCGTCTGACAAACTGTCTCCGCCCACTAGACCCAAAAAGAACAATCTTACTTCCATCAGTCCACAAAATGTTGCACCATTTCTCTTTAGGCCGGTCAATGTGCTCTTTGGCAGATTGTAACCTCTTCAGCACACGTCTTTTTCCCAACAGTGGGACTTTGCGGGGGCTTCTTGCAGATAGCTTGGCTTCACATCGGCGTCTTCTAATTGTAACAGTCCTCACAGGGAACGTCACACCTTCTTTCATCTTCCTGGAGCTGATTGTTGGCTGAGTCCTCACAGGGAACGTCACACCTTCTTTCATCTTCCTGGAGCTGATTGTTGGCTGAGTCCGCACCATTTTGGATATTCTTCTATCCATTCCAATGGTAGTTTTTCGCTTTTTCTTCCACGTCTTTCAGGTTTTGGTTGCCATTTTAAAGCATTTGCCATCATTATAGCTGAGCAGCCGATCATTTTCTGCACTTCTTTATATGTTTTCCCCTCTCCAATCAACTTGTTACTCAAGGTACGCTGTGCTTCTGAACAATGTCTGGAACGACCCATTTTCCTCAGAATTTCAGAGGGAAATGCACTGTAACCAGCATGTCCAACATTTGCTGCCTTCCTTCCTTAAATAAGGGCAATAATTGCCACCTGTTTATCAAAGAATGAATGACCTCACTAATAGAACTCCACACTGCTATTATTGTGAACACGCCCCTTTCAATGAGTGATTCAATGACACAGAATCAGCAGCATGCATGTCATGACTGTGGGGTCTGTTGGATTTCTATGACTCTACTACACCTGCTAGGAAATTATTTGCCATGTAGAAAATATCATTTCCACCAAAAACAGTGATTGATCCGGTTAGTGATGTCTGACTGCTAGTATTTTGAACACAACTGTGTATATATATCCCTACATGCCCCCACTTGAATATGTTTTTACTCAACATTGATTCATAAATAGTGAACATATAATCAACTAGAAGGGTTACATTGTGATTTGAGGTATTGAATGCTTCACAATGGCTCATATATTCTACCCAGTCTGAGCATCAGTGTGCAAATACTCAGACACCCAATAAGTTATGTCATGCAAAGCCATTTTGTAGCATCTCACCTCAGGAGTTAAATGTACACAGATGGTTTTAAAATGATTATCAGGTTTAAATGCCTCTCTCTGGTTTTAAGACAAAGATGAAGAGATAAATGATAATGAAAATAAGAAAGAGAAAAAAATGAAAGAAAATAGGAAAAAAAGGATGGTCACAATGTAAAGTCCATTGTTTGATGGCTATTGAGTCCATTATTCTTAAAGTCCTCGTAATTAATTTTTTAGAGGCATCAATACAAAATAACATATTTGCTGGTCAATATAGAGCAGCCTTCTGTCTTTCACTTGCAAACGAGTATTTGTGGTCACACAGATTCACACATCTCCAACATCTGAAAGACAAGAAATTCTCAAACAAAGCTTTATTAGCCAAGTCCCTAAACATTGTGTTTGAAGATAAGACAATTGTACCATTTACATTCTTACAGTTTCCAGCTAATTCACCCCCACTGCCATAGAGGTCTAATTTGCAACCTTTAGAAAAAAACAAACAATGGATGCAGTTACTAAATTGAAGGTTTACCCAGCAACTGTCTCTCAGGTGGCTGAAACTATACAAACTACAAAAACAATTTGGAATTTATTTCCCACCTGACATAAAAACTAAATGATGAAGGCTTGTCCTTAGAAACACAAAAATATACCAATGTCCTCCAATAAAGTCCCAAATACTGAGGCCAAATCTCTGAGAGCAGTAGCTAAATCTGAATGCATGCCAAAGAACTTTAATTGGAAAAACTCCTACCACACGCCCAACTGTCTATGGACTATCAACAACATGGTTGTTCATCCCAGTGTAGTATCTTTGTGTAAATGAAGACACCTCCATTTTCAGCTTTCAGTTGCTCCATAAACTGATGTCTTTCTTGCTTCAGCTGAT